ATGCGGTTGAATGCAAAAAATCCTGGAAGTCTTGAACCCATAAACGATCCTGAAGATTTGATTACATATTATCCACTGCCATCGCGGTTGCCTGTTGTTCCATAATTTGCACCGTACATCATGTTTTAGCCTGCCGGAACCTCTCTAGAAACTATGCCACTGGCTTATCATACCCCTGCGCTTCATAGCCACCATATGGAATATCGTCACCTCCACATGTGGTGTATAAAAATGGTCATGGAAAAGTCTTTCCAAGTTTGACCAAGATTGTACAGTACCTGGAGCCAATGACGTATACCACGAAAATGTCGTGCCCGTTAAAGATAAAGAAAAAAATTGTAATGGGTACCAATCATTCCCACCTAAGTCTCCACATTGAGCTGTGATTTTCCAATATGCTCGATTGTTGATCTTCCATCTTCTCCTTAAAACAATGTAAAATCCCACGTTTTATTTCGCACCAGTAATGGCATCATCTCACTTATCCAAGCTGGGTAAGGTCTCTGGTACACTGGCCGCTCTTCGAACTTCATCCGTGGAAAAGCCCTCCGTATACTTTCCACAAGGATATCAATATCTATCAGTGGTCGGGCATCTTGTTGATTAAGAACCAACGACTGTCCTCCATGTTGTCTAGAAATTTCATATGTTGTCTAGAAATTTCATATGTTGTCTCTAATTACAGCTTGCATGCAATGATTCACCTCCTTACATACCATTTTCACCATCGTTTCAGCAGATGATGACTCATTTTCTCTTTTCAACCCTGGGGTACGGCTTCCATTGGGATGAACCGGTGTTCTTAATCCAATATTACCTACAGTCACATTCATGCCTGAACTCTTATTCTGATTCACCATATCTATCACCTTACTACTATGAAGTCTCAAACACGAACCCGACTTGGTCCCACCAGACGTGCCAATTGTTGGAGTAGAATTATACATTTGTCTGATATTTGTTAATTGTGATACTGATACTAAATATATTATGTTTATGGTCAATTGTACAATGTTTATTTTTGAAAATTCTATATGATTTCAATTCTCATATCTTTGACGAGAGATATTAATCGAATTATTAAATTGGGTTGATTGTGGAGGATTAAGTTAGGGTGTATTTGTTTGAATGAGTGGTTTTTAAATACACTATTCATCCCATTTTTTTCTTCTAAAACCATCAAATCAAACACTTATTTTTTATATTATATTAAAAATCAATTTTACATTCAAAACATCACATCAACACCTATTTATATCACATCATACAACTATTCAAATTCAAAATTTTTACTATTCAAATCCCAACTCAAAATCCAAACCCCAAACAAACACACCCTAATATTTGTTATATATATTTTGGAAAAATTGAAAAGAAAAAGCAAAAAATAAAATAAAATAAAATTGAATAGACAGTCTACTATAGAAATTGCGACATAATTTGCAGTAGTTATATTCCCCCATAATTTGCTATTCCATTTGCGACAGATTTTGCAATATATATATTCCATTAAAAAATGCATTGCAATTTTTGCAACAGAATCAACAACAACTCTATTCTCTTGCAATGCACCAGTGAAATGGACATTACTAATTCTATTGGAATTTTCTGCAGAAAATCTTATTTTTCATTTAGGATTTCTACAATAATATTTACTAGAACATTCATTTGGTTGCAAATTCCATTGTAATTAGAAATTGTGACGGAAATTTTGTCAATTGTGACGAAATATTTTCGTAGTAATTTTCATATTTTTTTGTAGTGTTAATCAACATAAAACCCAATGTACAATTAAAATCAAGGTATAAAAGTGTTCATTCGAACCAATAAAAAGATTTACTAGACACCTTAAAAATTTGGGAGTTTTGATTTCTTCAGGTGTTTTATTACGATAATACTCATCAATGTTAATATACTGGGAATATCAACAATCTAATAGTCTGCCAAAAAAGTGTATACAACATGGAATGAAGTTGTTCACACTCGTAAGTCGTCTAGGAAGAAAAATCTGAAGGTCTGTTTCTTCGGTCCAGTTTTGGGCCGGTAGGGGATTTGGGGGACAGACTTACAGAGTCTGTTCTTATAATAATTATAATTTAATAAAATATATACAATATATATGTCATTTTGTAGAGAATAAATTTTTTTATAATATAAATAAATAAAAATTTAAAAATATTTATAAATATAATATAAATTTATAATTAAATTATACAAATTCCTGTACATTTATAATATTATATTCATACACATCAAATCAATACACATCAAAACTCCTCAAACTCCAACCAAATCCAAACCCAAAAGAAACATCAAAATTCAAACTCATCTCAAAATTCAAATAAAATTTAAATCAAAACCCAAATTTCTCCGAAACCTCGTAAAGAAACACACCCTTAAACCCTAAGTAAACACAATTTGATACCCTATAAATAAATAGAAATAAGAAATGATAAGAAAACACTGACATAACTATCCAATCTATAACTTAGATCTGTTCTCTTTTCCCGTAAATGTCATAAAAACATGTACAATCAAAGGAATTTTATGTTTAAATGAGCTTTGTACTAATAACGTCCTAAATTGCTTAAGGTTAGGTGAAATTAGAGGGATATTATGCTAAAAATTCTAATTTAGTATGGCTGAATTTAATCATGGCCCTTAATTATTAAATTATTTATTTAATTAAAAAAATTAAATTTAAAATTAGAGGTAGAGATTAATTTCAGCATACGGCTTATTTCATTTTGAAATCAGCATATGATCCCATCCCTCATTGGATTGCATAAAATTAAGAATAGGTTCTGCAAAATAAAAGCATTTATATTTGAAAATTGATTAATGATCGAAAACAAAAAGAAAACATATTGGTCTCCTTCCTTCGAATCAAATTTCCATGCCATGCAACAAATGTCCATGGTTGGATTAATATATAGTTTGGCTCACTATACAAGTTTAATTTCAAAATAAACTAATTTAAGTGTATAATAAATTAATTTTTTGAAATAACTTATTGAGCCTAAAATAATGATTTTTTAAGATTTTAGTATAGCTTTTCAATTTTCAGATTTTTATTCATTTTTTACCCTTAAGAATTAAACATACATTTGAGACATATTAATATATTTTTTTATTGTAAAATTTATTTATTAATTATTTTACTATATATATTTTTCTAATAATTTATCAATTTAAAGTAATTGAAATTATTATTTTTTATATGTAAATTATTTTATTTATAAATTTTTAAAATTTGTTAAAATAAAGATAAAATTAAAATATAAATATTATTGATTTACTTATATATATATTATCACATAGTTTTTTTTTTTTTGATTAAGATGAATATATTAAGATAAATTTATCTAAAAAATATAAATTTAATAAAAATAAATTAATTCAAAATTAATCGAATAAAAATACATATACTAACAATTTGTTTTTTTCTTTTTTCTTTTTACCTTTTAAACTATTTGTAATGAAAAAAAATGCTAATATTTTATTTAATAAAAACACATATTTTTCTTTAAAAAAAAATATTTTAGTAAAACTTTCATAATTTCTAATAATAATAAAAATTCTAAAAATCTCGTAAACACCAAAACAATGCAACTAAATATTTTAAAATATATATAATATCATTAATTGTCATTTGACATATAACAGATTAATATCAAACAATTATTTTACCAACTAATTAAATTCACTAACAATTAATTGAATCGAACTATTAGTTTAAAACCAACGGCTAATTGTCAAACATTCTCTAAATAAGAGTCAAAATATTTTGGTATTACTATATATTACTTTTATTAAAATAGAAAATAAATATTTTTAAGGGAGACAAACGAAAATAGTCAAAATAGTAATTTGAGTTGGAAGAGTGACATGGATATGATCAATTCCATGATTTTTAATTCAATTTAAAATGTAGAATCAATGACGTGAAAATCGAATTAAAACGAATCAGTGGATTCAATTGATGAATACTCATCTCGGGAATACGCCGTGAAAATTGAATTAAAACGAATAAGTGGATTCAATTGATGAATACTCCTCTCGGGAATACGCCGTGAAAATCGAATTAAAACGAATAAGTAGATTCAATTGATGAATACTCCTCTCGGAAATACACCGTCCTGAATCCATACGAGTTGTTTGAGGCTTATGAATGCTTCTTTTGTCTCTTATGTAACTTGTATTCTGAAGACTCAAACAATAACCCTTTTGATTGATAGAAATCTCTCCAAGATTAAGCTAGTTTCTTCATTAGCACTTAATTTCTTAGCAGTAAACGGAATGGATGTTTCAACAAGTAGAATGCAAAGTACAAATGCTAGGAAATGCCTAATCTAATCTAACCCGTACATCTATCCTAATCATCAACAGCTTACAACCTCTAAACAAACTAACGTTGTTGAACGAATTTGGATCGCAGGTGGTCCTTCGACTATCGAGTTGGCTGATCCATCAACAATCGAGTTCGGATTATCCGATACCGTGTCAAAGAGTATTCTACACTTCATCCTTATTCTACTAAGCCCAATAATATTAGATTTTTCCATCTTATACAAATCCGTTCACAAATATAATACTTCATCCGTTCTGCCATAAGGAATACATTTACTTTCGATACAAAATTTAATTAATAATAATATTTAAATTAAAATGAATAGTTAAAGTAGTGTAAAGATAATTTACTCTAATTATGTAATAGTAAGTAAATATATTTATGTAAAATAGTGAGGTAATAATTACTAAAAAGAGAAATATATATGTTAATACGAAATACAGACAAAAATAGAAAATGTATACGTTAAGGCTGTTTCTTAATTCAATACAAAAATCTTTTAATAGTGAGACCAAGAAAAGAATAGCACATAAATACTTAGAATTTAAATGCGGCTGCAATCCTAAAATTAGAATTAGGGACTTCTATTATCCTTGCTGAATGTATTTTTTTTTGCAAACAAGAAGTAATTAAAATTTGAATGGCATTATGTAATTAGTAAAAATGGGCTTAAGAAACAATTTTTCACGAGACTAAATAACTACACATTAATAACATTCCAAATGCATTCATAAATCACAGGACAACAAAAACAAACAAATAATTACTAGTTTCTCAGCAAATGTGCACCAGGAGGAACAAACACTTTCTTACCTCCTTGAAAACTTTGTTTAAGAATACTCGAACCAAACTTACGAACTATTTTATAAAGAGTGGCATGAAAATCCCTCGAACTGAGCAGCAATGCAACCGTAGATGAATCGAGGGAGAATCCTTTTGCATACATTTCTTCACAAACTGCTACTGCATCATCATATTCACCATGCAACATGATTCCTCTAATGATAGTATTACAGATGACGGCATCTGGCATTAATTTGTCTTGCTTCATTTTTGAAAGAAAAGTTTCAGCTTTCTCGAGCAATCCATAGTCACAACATCCTCGTATCAATATACTATAAGTTACAATATCTGGTTCCAAGCCCCTATAATGGAGATTGTTAAACACATCGCAAGCCATATCAAGATTCTTCGAATTGCACAACCCAATCATCACAATATTGTAGTAATTATTATAGAGAGATACACCATTATGCTCCAATACACGTAGGAACTCTAATGCTTCTTCAACTTTCCCACACAGGCATAGACCATATAACATGACACAATAGGTATAAAAATTAGGCTTTACCCCAGCCATCCTCGATTCATCAAAAAGTCGCATTGCAGCTGCATATCTATGTGCATGAAACAACTGCTTCAAGAAAACAGTATATGTAACCCGATCTGGCTTCACATTATTGTGCAACATCTCCTTATATACACGCTTAGCTTCTTTCATATTGCTCACCATGCAATACCCATGAATTAGAATATTGTAGCTGTAAACATTCGGAGATATATTCCAGCAAGCCATTGAATCAAAAACTTTTTTAGCGTCATCCATTCGTCCGTGCAAGCAATATCCATCCATCAATTCATTATATGAAACAACATCAGGATCCACATCTTTCCGCTTCATGACATCAAGCACATCCTCTGCCAGATCCATCAAACCTTTCTTGCATAACACATTAATCAATGTATTAAATGTGATAACATCCGGATAGATTTTGCAACCTATCATCTCCTTGAGCATCAATTTCACTTCGTCCCATCGATTCAACTTACATAATCCCAAAATCAAAGAATTGTAGGTGAAAATATTGGGAAAGACACCTCTCATAGGCATCTCATAGAATATCTTGAACGCATCATCAATATTTCCATTACTGCACAAACTGTGAATGAAGTTGTTTAGCATATGCTTGTCTGCTGGAAAACCACATTTCTCCCTTTCGTCGATCAGTTCAAGAGCTTCCGCGGTTCTTCCTACTTTGCAAAGTCCATCTACTACGCACCTATATAAAACCACTTCGGTCTCACACAACCTCTCTCTTACTATTCTTTTAAACAAGATTTGTGCCTCATTAATCCTGTCTTCTCTAAACAAACCCTTCACTAATGGATTGAATGTTTGCTCATAGGGTACCCGACCAAGCTTAAAGAACCAACCCAGAATAGAAAATCCACAATCAGTATGATGCGATGAGCAGTAACTATTGATGGCAACATTGAGGGTACAACTGTCTACTGGAATCCCCAAATAAAGCATATCCTTGAAAAGGGAAATGGCAACATTATACTCTTTCAACTTGACCACGGAGGACAGCAATTTAGTGAATTCTTTGACGCTAGGAAAAGGCATTGTTCGGGACATTTGATCGAACATATTAAGCGCATCGTTAACCTTACTAATATTCCAGCAATTTACCAAAGAGTGAGTTCCAAAAGGACGATGGGAAGAAAGAGGAACAAGTGTGAAACCGAGACGAGAGAAAATACCTGAAGCTAAAGCTGAAGCGAAACGCGTTGGATTGTGAATAGGCAATAATATCCCCAGATTGAGATTGAAGCCCTTCTTGTTCTTCATTTGAGAGTCTTAGCTGCTGCAATTGCAAATCGGGAGGTTAGGATTTGAGGGGAAGAGTTGGGAGGGATCGAAGAAATGGGGATTTGCTCGAGTGATGTGAGTTTTCCCAATTCGGCAAATCTCTCACTTGAAAGCAATTGAAACGAGTTTTTCTTAGTTTAAATACAACACAACTAAAAATATTTTAGGAATTTAAAAATTGATATTTTAAAATTTATTATTAGTTTGATGCACTAAATACGATTAATTAAAAATCATCAAGGGGTTAGAATATAGATTATGAAACCATCATAGAATTTTAAATAGTTTAACTTAATTTCGTAAAATTACAATTGAATTTTGTACAATTTATCCTTAATTATGAAATATAATAGGATTGGTTGTTCTTATACTTATTTAAATATTTTTTAAACTGAGGAGACCAATTTTATTTTATTTTTTTCTCCCTATTATAATAGATTATATTTTTTATTTTTAATAAATTTATTTATTTTAAATATATTTAATAAATATAAATTAATTAGGATAACAAAAATAATTTTGATCCATTTTATTCATCAATATGTTATTTTTAGTTCCTCTGTTTTTAAAAAGGACAAGTTTGAACATTTATTCTTTAAATTAGTTTAATTTTAGTCTTTAATCATTACTTTTAAAAAATTATAATAATAAATAGGGTAAAATACAATTTTAGTTCTCCTATTTTTTAAAATGACAATTTTGAACACTTATTGAACTAATTCAATTTTTTAGTCCTTAATCATTATTATTTTAAAAATTAATAAATATAATTATTACTATTTTGTTGCATAGAAATATTAAAATTTTTATTTTTAATAAAAAAATCGTAAATAAAAATGAAAAGTACACGCAATATTAAAATTAATTTTCAAAGTTCTAAACCTATTTTTTATAACGGAAGTATTGTACGATTTTCTTATAAATATCTTCATTTTCAAAAGCATTTAAATTAATTTTCAAAAGCATTATTCTCCATCATTATTTAAATTCATTTATGTTATTATTTTTTTCAAATATCTTCGTACAAATATTTTTTTATAAATAATTTTTTTAAAGATCTATTTATATGACAATGCATATAACTAGTATTTTCGATAAAATGATAATTAAAAACTAAATCTGAACTATATTAATTGATAACGGATCGAAATTGTCATTTAAAAAATTGAGGGATTAAAATTAACTTAAATATGAATAAAAGATATCAAAATAATCATTTTAATAATATAGGATTGAAATTGAGCAGATGTAAATAAAGGGGACCGAAAATGTATTTTTGCTCAGGTATCAATGAATATTTTTCTGATGAAAAGTTGTATTTTTTGCAAGGTACTACACCATGGTTCGCGGATTACGCCAATTTTCATGTCAACGGTGTTATGCCTCTGCACCTGGATTTCAAATAAATGAAGCGTTTTTTGAACTTAGTCGACCATTATTTTTGGGAATAGTCATATCTATTTCACTTTGGCGATTTGTAGGTGGCCATTTTGCTACACAAAGAACTGCTGCTAAAGTACTCTAGTAAGAATTCTGCTGGCTAACAATACACCTAGATGCACAGACATTTGTCAGGCAATGTGATGCGTGCCAGCAAACGGATTAGGTCGGGTCGCGTTTAGGTTCGGGTCAACTTAAACGGGTTACAAAACCCTTGACCTGAACCTGACTCATTTAATTAAATGGGTTGATATTTGCAACATTAACATGACATTTTATTAATCGGGTCAACCTGAATTTGACTCATATAACCCGTTTAAATCTAAAATTTTTAAATTTTAATTTAAAATTACAAATTATACTAACAAAATTTTCAAATGCATAATATATATACATATTAAAGTAAAAAATTATTTATTCATATCATGAAACCGATATTCAAGAATTGAATTAACAAACACTACATAATAGTACACAACTCAATCTTTTATTTTCTACGGTTTATTTTTTACTGTTTATTTTTATAAAATTGGCCATAAATATTGAAATTGTATTGATAAAATTAAAAAAAATATATATTTGACTTTAAAATAATATTAATTAAACATGTTAGACGAGTTATTTTCATGTAAAAAATATAGACCTTAACCTGACCCATTTAATTAAATGAGTTAAATTGGTTTGACCCAATTATTAATTGGGTCAAAAATCTCAACCCAAATCTAACTATTTCAGGTCAGGTTCGGGTCGGGTTATCAGGTCGGGTTAATTTTTGCCAGCCCTAGTGCCAGCTATTGGGTACAATTACAAAACTATGAAATGCCGCATAAAGGGATTTTTGAAGTGGAGCTCTTCGATCTATGCAAAATTTATTTTATAGGACTATTCCCAAAGTCCCATGGGAACACGTATATTCTGATCGCGGTGGATTATATTAGTAAATAGGTCGAGGTAGCTGGCCTCCCCACAAACAATGCGGTATAGGTAACAAAGTTCATTTAGAAACATATTTTCTCACGCTTTGGTGTACCCAAAACTTTCATAAGCGATGAAGGCACCCACCTTTTTCAACAAGCGATTCGTTGCACTTCTTGCGAAGTACAACATTTGCCATAGTCTCGCGACCCCTTACCATCCGCAATCCAATGGCCAAGTCGGTAATCACGAATTGAAACATATATTATAGAAAACTGTCAGCAAAAATAGAAAATAGTGGTCTCTGAAACTAGACATGCATTGTGGGCATATCGCACAATATTCAAGACTCCAATTAGGATGTCGCCATACAGATTTGTTTATGGAAAATCCTGCCATTTACCTCTGGAAATTGAGCACCGTGCATACTGGGCAATTCAGTTCTTAAACTTTGGCACTGATCTCTGAAACTAGATGATGCGTTGTGGGCATATCGCACAATATTCAAGACTCCAATCGAGATGTCGCCATACAGGCTTATTTATGGAAAATCCTGCCATTTACCTCTAAAAATTGAGCACCGTGCATACTAGGCAATTCAGTTCTTAAACTTCGGTATTCTGCCCGCAAGAAAGAAAAGGAATGGATTTTTTTATAGATTTGGATGAGTTTCAGTTCCTCGCGTATGAGAACGCAAAGATCTAGAAGGAACGCACTTAATTTTACCATATGATAAAATGATTCGCCACAAGAACTTTGAAGAAGAGGACAAAGTGTTGTTATACAATTCGTGCCTACATCAATTCCCTAGAAAGCTCTAATCGCGCTAGACTGGACCTTACATTCTGAAGGAAGTCTTAGCCAATGAGGCAGTGCAAATCTACAATCCGAATTCTGCGGACAATCATGATGGTTTGTTTGCTTGTGAATGGAATGCGTCTAAAGAAATTTCTGGAAGGATTCAAAATTGTTTGCGATCATCAAGTATTAACAGCTACTCCCGCGAATTCATCAGCTTATGTTGTGCGAGGACGCACAATTATTCTGTCTGAGGAGGGGAGGACAAAATTGATTAAAGAATATCCTTCCCAGTATCCTTGAAAATTAAAATTTTTTTGAATTCTATCTTGTTTGTTTTCAATCATGTGCACTTCTAATTTCTATCGCATGCGTAGAATAGTTATATAGAAGTTCTAGGTTAGATTTACAGTCTTCATAGGATAGAGTCTGAGAGCTTACCCTGCACAAATCGCGAGGCTATCCTCGTGATGCGAGCACCATAACCACAACACTTGGAAAATACATTTCTAACCCCTCAACTCTTGGAAATTCTAAAAAAAAAGCCACCGAGCATCTTCAAACCCTAAAAATCCTTCATTTCCCTTTACCTCTGACACCAAAATGTTCATATTCCTCTCTACGAAAACTTCAACTATACCACATCTCTCTAAACTTCCAAGTTCTAAATCGAGTGTTTTCTTCGTACTTGATTCAAAACAATGCTTTGTTTCTACAAAACAAGGTACGGACAATCAATTTCATGGATCGCATTTACATAAAACTACCTATTTTTTTATCCTAGGAGTTTTCATGTTCATAGAACAATTTTTCCTCAAAGTGCGTTATAATTGCATATTATGGTCTTCTACAAGTTAGACTTGTTAAGGCTTATTATTTTTGCCCTAAGGAACTTTATTCCATTTGGGAAGGGTTTAGATTCTCATACTTAGCAATTTCCCAAGTTTCGATAGGTGCACTGTTGGAACATGCAAGATTCTTTTATTCTGAGGAAGCCCTAACTAACTTGTTCTTCGTGCTGCGAAGAGGCAAGCATTGGTGTCCTAAGAAATTCTGAACTAGGGCTTTGGACCTAAGCCCTCTTTTATATCCCTATAACTTTAGTTCCACCCCTTTATGATCGATTGATAACATTAAAAAAAATTCACGATTTTTTTTAGGGCTACAGACACTTGTATTCACTGTGATCGAAAAACAAATCCAAAATAGTAACCATGTTATTCAGGTGATTTACGAGCCGTGGTGTTTGTGGACGTGCAAGAGGACGTTCAGGACAGAAGGCTGTTGCGATTTTCAAGGAGGATAGAAAAAGAAACTTCAGAAAGAATTCGAGGAACTTGATAAATATTTTGAGAACATGACGTGGATTTCCAATCTTCAAGGATTCAAATACCCGTGGGACCCATCACTCGAAGCCGAGCTCATTAGTTTAAAAAATCCATCACTGCATTGACCCGACGATTTTTTATGGAGAATTAATTTAAAGATGATGCTTGGAGAACACTTAAACCTCACCTGACAATACTCCAATGGGACCCGCAAGAATCGGAATTGAAAGATCAAGAGAATCGCTAATTTTAAAAGATTATCAAGGGAATCACCAATTATGGAAGATTATCAAGAGAATTACAAGTTTCCATATAGGGTGCATTTGTCTTGGGGTTTGGATTTTGAGTTTGGATTTGAATAGTAAAATATTTGAATTTGAATAATGGTATGATGTGATATAAATATGCGTTTGATTAGATATGTTTTTGGAGAAATTTTTTTATGAACAATAGATTTTGGGGAAAATCCCCCAAACAAACACACCCATAGTATAATTCTATGTCTAGATGTTACCTTACCATAGATTTTCTTCTATTATAAGTTTTCATATAGTATAATTCCATATTTAGAACTTTCCTTATTATTTGTTTTCTTATAGTTATACTTACCTTTCGGG